AACTCCTAGAATTCCCCAGCCAGCAGTCCACACATCTTAAAGTGGCCAAGGTTGAGAAACACTGGGCTAGCATATTGTGTGAATCCAACCAGGACAGCTAAAGCACAGCTCACTATTGTCCAAACCCGGCCATTAATTTAGGGTTCAGTGTTACAGAGATACAGGTAGTCTATCTTTATACCAGTTTAAGAATGAGTTCCGTTCCCAAGGTTTGTCCTTAAGTCAAATTTATATGTAAGCCGAACAGTATTATTGTATAATACTGCATAAGTAGTAGTGTGTATTTAACTCGAATCATTGTGTATTTAACTTGAATTTTGCTACAGTAGACTCTTTTCTTAACTATAGGTCATCTGTAACCCAGGTGTTCTTAATGGGGGACTACCTGTATGCCAGAGATAAAATTAGGCACACAAATCAACACTGATATGTCTGTCTCTGCAAACTTCAGGTTCCGTGTACAATGGGATTAAAAACGACCAGCTTTTCTCCACAGCTGTGGGAAAGTCCTTCAAATGTCTCAGTAAGCAAACGGTGGGCTTGGCCAACGATTTTCAACTGCAAGTTGCCAATTCCCAACTTCAAGCCTTTGATATTGTTGATAACCAATTTGGAAAAGGTTAGTAATGCATCACTGGGGTTCCTATGCTTAAGAGTTCCCTACTGAGGGTGCAAAGGGACAATTTCACACCATGATCTCCCAGCCTTGGGATACATGGGAAGGGGATGAAGATTTCACTGGTTATCTCTCAGCTGTGCCGCATTGAATCCAAGCCAACTTTGCGTGCATACAATGTGTGCACAGGACCCCTGCCTTTAACAAATTTCCCAGTAGCCCCAAAACAATGCTTATATAATTCTCAGTCGTACCGGCCACTAGGAGGGAGCACATGACCAGTTTCAACCTTATTGGGAATCATCAGACATTCATAACTTTATTTTATGGGGTTCAAAATCTCTACTGAGAAGTGAACTCATGGATCCTTCCAGTTTAGATGATTATATATTGTGTATTAGCTTTAGGGGCTAACCAGGCCCTGATGCTCAGCAGTGTTGCAGAATCTATCAGAATGGGAAGGGACTGTATATACCATTCTGGTAACCTTGGAGGGCATATCTACATTTTCAGCTCAATGTGTGAAACTCAGGAGCAGGGACAAGTGCAATCTAGATTCCCACCTCCTTGCATTTACTGAAGGTGTCTACAGTCTAATATAGAGAGATGTTAGGATTAAAATGTCCTGTCCTTAGAAGTCCCCAGCAGAACAGCTGAAGGCCCACAGTTCATGAGTTACATAAATGAGGATTTGCATAGTTCAAATGATTTCAACTGGTCCAAATGCAATTTTTACATATGGTGCTCACAGGGTCTTGGATAATTCTCAATAGCTGTATTTGTCTAAGCAGAAAATCACTATGGAAGCATATGATACTTCTTTACTGAAGTCTAACGTTCTTTTTCAAACTGCAGAGGAAGAGTGCATTTTGGATAGAAATAAGAGGTTGATCCCAGCAACTATTGGCTTCAGTCTGGCAGGGTTAATTATCATCATCCTGGCCTCCTGTGCGATTTATAGAAGAAAACCTCATTTGGGATACAGCCGTATCTGAATCCTGAAGTTTATTTATGAATGGGTGTGGCAGCAAACGAAAAGTTCAGGAAGAGTGGAAGATTCTGCTTGCTTTGCTGTGGCTATCAGATGTGCAAATAGCAGCTGAGTTTAAGCGATTTCTTAAAATTCTGACACTTTAACAGTTAATCAAAAATTAATCAGGTCAATGCACGTACGCACATCTATTATCTATATGCAATGGCAGTACTGTGTTTATTTGCTTGGGTGTTACTGTTTTTTTATTCGTCCATATATTTTTGCAATATAATCAATGAATTCAATTAAGATGATTAATAATAATAATGTGCCTCTGTTTCATAAACACATGCGACTCATCCTCAAGCATATTTAAGATTGTGTTGGTTTCCCTAAAGATGCCACATAGTGAAATTATGTTTTACGTTAGCGTGTGTTTTTTAGAATACCCCCCCCCCTTTAAAGCTTTTGAGAAGCTTGTGATATTAAGAGAGCAAAACATTTTACACACTGACACCTATCTTTTTTCTTGTTGGATCGAATCTGTCATTCATCTGATGGGAACAATAAAGAACTACTTTTAGAAGCAATGTTGTAAAATGGGTCACCCACCACTCCTTCGGACAGCAGTCCAATCTAACAGCTTACCAGTTTGGGCTCCTAACCATAACTAAGGCACAGATGTTACAACAGGGAAGGAATCCCTGCTCTGTATTAGCCAGAGTTTAGCCAAGATAATTTCTGTATAAGAAAAACCAAAGATGTCCCTCATGAAGACTACCAAGAATGTTTGCTTGTTTGAGTTTAGAAGGGGTCGTAAGCTACTATAAGATGCTAAGGGGTGAAGAAAAGAGAAATGACAGAAATAATGTTTACGTCAATGAATGTACTGCTTTATTCCAATGAACAGATCATTGGAGGAGACCATTCTGCATGACGAATGATGCAGTCAAGTGCAAAATTCCTACATTTTATAGTCTTCCCACCTCAGCTGCATACAGCTTGTTTAAAACATGGTTTCTCCATGATCATGTGTCTCCTCCAAGGGATATATTTCTATAGTGCTGCTTATGAAGAAAGCTTGTTGGAGACTGAAACATTTTCTGATTAAGAAGCACTTCATAAAAAGAGAAGACTTTCAAGTTCAGTAGCCTTGGATATATCATTGTATTATGGAGCTCATCTCACAGCTTCTGGTGTACAACAGAAACCATCTAGCCTAGACTGGGAAGTTGAAAAAAATGTCCTAGAACAGGGTTCCTCAACAGCCAAAATCAAATGGTTTTAGTATCTGCTCTTGAGAAAAACAATCGAGCTAAAATTATTTTACATGAGTCCTTAATTAGGAGGCAGGTTGTCTGTCGTCCTCAATTTTCTGAATGTAGGATATTTTCAAAATTACTCCCATGCCAACTTATCACTCACAAAATAGAGATCATTATTTCACATCTTCTGTCCAACGTCAGGGTTACAATAATGGGTGCATTCACTCCTTGTACTAATCATGGCTTATTGGCCATTAACTGGCTGAGCAATCAACAATGGTTTATAAACCACTCAGGCTGGTTTTACACATTGCGCTGGGCTAAAACCAAACCATGTTATGGCATATCACAGCATGTGAATTCAGCTAACAAAGTACTGTAGCTCTATGTGTTTTCACACATTCAGGTTGTTGCTTCACAAGATGCTTGGCTGGAATGGTTAGTTTGTAGCTCATTGTATTGTACAAACCCAAACCTGAGTTACTTAAATACACCATCTTTCAGTTAACCGCAGATTGGTGCAGTGTGTGAACACAGCTTCAGTAATGCATTGTCTGTTCCATATAATTCTACCTATCTGGTCTAGTTCTCAAACCACTGAAAGATAGAATGGAAAGACCCAAGCCAGTTCTGCTAAATCAGCTGACTTAAGGTCACACATCCTTGTATTCACTAGTATTTAGTCAATTATCCCTTAGTTATTTGATAAAAAGCAACGCTTTTTGCTTTCCTTTAATTTTCTTGGTAGCGAATGGAAGTAGTTTGCCCCTCCTTTCTTCTGAGATGGGTTTTTGACTTCTGAGGCTCAGAAAAATGCAGTCTAAAAAAAGGACTATTTTCCAAGGTCAAAGTTTTCTGCAGAAAATGTTTCTCCTTAGGCAAGTTTGACCTTTCCAAAGTTGTATGACGTTTGTTTTCAGGTGATTTGTCTAAACTGCAGAGAAGCTAGAAGTACACTGCAGTTACAAACTACTTTACTACCTACATCCCAATAGAGTTTCCAACATTTCTTTTTCTTCTTCACACACCAAAGCTTTGGTTTCTTTATTAGTCCTATACAAAGCACATACAAGAGGCTGGATTGAATTTTCTTCACATCAAATAACGTGGCCCAAATACCTGTCACTGAAATGAAAGTGCTAATTAGAATCATATTTATTTGCAGAGGAAAAAATTCTGTTTCAAAAATTTCTGGAAGGCTAACCTGTGGCCCAAGCCTTCTATCCACATACTAACCAAGCCCAATCATGGTTCGTTTTCAAGGTCACACTGATACTGCCACCTTCTCGGGCTTGTGGTAAAGAAGGGGGATCTGGTACTCTCCTTCTGAAAGGCAAAGAGGCCAGTGGCCAGAATCCTACAAATCTACTTAAAAAAATCCAAACTCCAAAAGATGGAGAAAAAAGGTTTACAAAACAGCTCTAAGTTCATAGCCCAAGTTTCTTGCCCCTAATAATTATGACTTTTCGTTCCCAATACTTTTTTCTGAACAAAAGATGCTCCAGATATAGACCGCTTGTACCTACATTCTTCCAAGAGGCCCAAAGCAGAATTCAAAAGCCCCACAATTCTGACACCCCTGTGCTGTGGGTCCCATCAACTAAAAGATGCCATCTATCCGGACCCAGGAAGCGAGGTCCTGCCCTCGGGAACAGCGTCCCTCCCAGATTCGTGTCGCTGCCATTCCGATGATGTTCCCCAACCCCGGCTGTTCTTCCAGGTCTTGGGTAGGACACACCGGTCGGGTGTATTCTTTGCAGCACACGGGGTTTGTTTTGTCCGGACACACTTGGCGTCGCCTGTTGTGGCTTTGCTTCCTTTTCAAAGGCAAGCCACCCATATCGGCCTTGAAAGGTATCGGATCGATACATCCGCGTTAATAAGGCAATCGGACTCAGGCGCTGCGTTCACCCCACGCGCCGAGCCCGAGCCTGCCGCCTACCCCGGCGCGAGGCTCGGCTAACCGGGCGGGGAGCCCTTCCTTGACTTTGCCGAAGACCTGCGCCCACCCAGAAAACCGGTTAGCCGACTGACCCGGCGCTGCTGCAGTGAGAGAAACGGGGCGAAAAGCGCGGAAGACGGGAACGAAGCCGCGACGAGAAGACCGCGGGGCTGGGCGAGGCGCGTCCGCGGCGGGCGCAGCCGGAGCGGCCCCGGGGGCGCGGCGCTCGCTCGCTCGCTCGCTCGCT